ATGATAGAAAATAAACATTTGGTTGCTTTATTATTTTAACAGAACTGGATATTTACCAGCAAACAACAAAGAATTTATGATGTGAATGAATAAGAAATACTTATGAAATGTACAAAAGCCCTAAAAGGCCATACATTTTTTTTTTTTTTACTGTAAGAGAGTTGTGCAACATATGTCTCTAGCCAGCTGCAAACCATTTAATCAGTGCATCATGCATCATGCACACATCTACATTGGCTGAAAACGACCACATGTTTAGATATGTCTTCAATGATAAAGATGTGGTCTCCTTCTCAAGTCATTTGAAAGTGGTCAAAATGTGAATTAACTTTGTATTAAAAAAAAAAGTATAAAATTCAGATTTCCTTGCATTCGATGAAACACAAGAGCTGCTGACATTATAGCAGAGCAAAAAAAAAATAAAAAATATTGCATTAAATAAAAAGTGCTAAATATATGCCCTTTTACTAGTGCTATCAGACTTTGGTATATATTTTTATAACAAATGTTTTAGGTGCATTTTTGTGGTTTCTTGTGATAAGCTAAATTATAAATAAAAAATATTGCATTAAATAAAAAGTGCTAAATATATGCCCTTTTACTAGTGCTATCAGACTGGTATATATTTTTATAACAAATGTTTTAGGTGCATTTTTGTGGTTTCTTGTGATAAGCTAAATTATATTGGTCCTGTTATTTAACACATTAACTGACATTAATATTGAGCAATACATTTGTTACAGTATTTATTAATCTTTGTTAATGTTAGTTAATATTAAATCTGCTCACTGTTAGGTACGTTTCATTACATATAAATAGATACTTTTGATTTAATAATGTATTAGTAAATGTTCAAATTAACATTAACTAAGATTAACAAATGCTTAAGTATTTTTCATTGTTAGTTTTTGTTAACTAATGTATAACTTATGTTAACAACTGGACCCATATTGTAAAGAGGTACCCTTATTTTTATATTAATAATTAGATAACACCATAAGTCTCCCTTCACTTTCACATGTGGTTAACTGGTGTTTTAACGAATGGAACAATTGTCACCAGCAGCGCGTTAGACAACACTTAGACAAATTTAAACACATTTGAGTAGACATGAGGGGCCAAAGAGCTGACCAGCATCACACCTAAAATAACCCTGCGTTCCTGTGAAGCGCTGCAACTGTTTTGGCCTGAGGCTCAGTGACCATAATGATGTGTTGAGAGTTTTAGTTGAAAGGTCACTATTTCTGTCACAGGTTCATCGCAAGAGATACCATTTAAGGTTATTTGAGAGCTTATTGTTAAACAACTTGCTCAAAAAGCATACATAGCTCTGAATTGAAAACTTAGGCAAGTGCTAAGATGAATTGAAAAATAAATACACAACTTTTTAAACAGAAATGCGTATTTAAAATGAATAGTGCTCCAAAAAAATGGAAATTTGCTCACCCTCGGGTCATCCAAGACATAGACGAGTTTGTTTCTTCATCTGAAGAGATTTGGAGAAATGTAGCATTACATCACTTGCTCTGCAGTGAATGGGTGCCGTCAGAATGAGAGTCCAAACAGCTGATAAAAACATCACAATAATCCACAAGGCTTCAGTCCATTTCATGAAGCGAAAAGCTGCATGTTTATGATAAACAAATTCATCATAAAGACAATTTTAACACCTTTTAATGTCTTCCAGCTAAAATACACGTCCTCCATCCATATATTGCTAATAAAGGTTGTCTCTTTTGAAGTGCAAACAGTCCTAAATTAACAAAGAAGATGGTGATTTTTTATGTGAGAGGACAACAGGGAATGGACTTTTTCACTGGAGTTTTCACATTTTTCCTTTTTGGGTGAACTATTCCTTTAAAGAGGAAGTAAAAAGATAAATAGACTCTGAACATTATATGTAAACTGAGCAATAGAGCCACATTTGGCTGTCTGTGGCTTTATTCTGAAATGAAACTGCATTCGAAAGATCCAGTGATAACAGAGAATAGTTCTATTTATAGTCCACCAGTTTTTCACTTACTGTTCTCTCATCATCTGTTGGCAGATTCGGGGGAGATGGCGCTCAGGTGTAAGTTCTGTGGCCGAGGTGGACGGGACAGGCGATCTCTGCGCTCACTCAGGAGGGGTGTCGGAGCAGAGAAGCCTTACCAGTGCAAACAGTGTAGCAAGAGGTTCAGCCTTAAACACCAGCTGGACACACATCACCGGGTCCACACAGGTACAACCAACCTTTAAACCCATGGGCCACTTTCCTCCAGTGTTCAGGCCTGGAAGTTTCTAGTGATCATGAAGACCTGATTCAGGAGTGTTGAATTATGGCTGGAGCTGAACTCTGCTGAAAAGTGGCTCTATAGGAGAAGGATCAGATACCACTCATTTAAATAAAAATTTCACTTTCTGAGAAACTGAACATTGCATTTCACTGTATAAAGATTAGATCTGTAATCTGAATTAGTGTTATTTTGGTATCACTGACATACTATTGTATTTATTTTCTTTTTTTTAATTCGTTTTTATTTGTTGTTTATGCTTTCATTTAGCTTTTTCAATTTTGGTTACAGTTTTAGTAATTTAGTTGTTTTGTCATTTTATTACTAATTGTTTTTTTTTAAATGTTATAGTTTTTATTAAATTTTATTTCAGATTTAGATATTTTAGTACTTTAAATTGATAATAAACTAAATAAAAATTAGAAATGCTAGCTGAAATAAAATTGTTATGTTTTATTTACAGAAACAAAGATTTTTTTTTTCTTTTTAAATTTTTAGTTTAAAACAAGTCCATCACATACAGCATCAGGTCTATATTTTTTTTTATTTGATCTCCTTGACTTATAAATATCAGCTGTATAGATTATTGTATGTTGAATCTTGGTTTGACAGCCTTCTCTGAGAAAAAAAGCCTTTCATTTTTAAAGGTTATTTTTTATTCTTATAAAAAAAAATTTAATATTTAATAGTTTATATTTAATTTTTATATATATATATATATAGTTTTAGTCCTTTAACAGCCAAGGAAACATTTATTTTTTTAAGTTTAATATTTATATTTTATTTCATCTATATTCCCATTTCCAATTCTTAATAGCTTTAGTTTAACAATAACAACACCGACTACAAATTTGATTAGGGATTCTGGGAAATCACGTTGAAATCTTCAGCTCAGTTCTCTCTTCCAGGTGAAAAACCGTTCGAGTGTCGGCTGTGTGGCCAGCGTTCACGTGACTATTCGGCTATGATCAAGCACCTGCGTACTCATGGCGGCGCCACTCCCTACCAGTGCACCCTGTGTCTGGAGTTCTGTAGCAGCCTGGCAGCCATGCAGAAACACCTGAAGAATCACCCCACGCAGGACTTCCCTCCAGACTGGAGCCTGAGCAGCACATACCTGTACAACTGCCACACCTGAGGCCTGGGGGATAAAACATGTAGATATGGAAAATGTAATAGTTTTGTTATTTTTAAAACTTTTATGAATCTATTTTGAAGCCATTATACAAACATGATAATATATTTAATATGCATACAAAGGACATTTATGCCAGTTGATTTTTGTTTTCTTTGAAGAACGTCTAGTTGGGTGAACATTTCACTCACCACTTAAGATGGAGTAGATTGTAATTTGCCAATGCTTATAATTTTCTCTGTGAAATATCATCACAATAGCATACAAAATATGTGTTTGTTTATTTATTGAGCTGGTCAAATCTGTACCATTTATCTAAGCACTCACTATGTGATCTATTTACGCACTGTATACAATCTTTTAATAAAAGCATTATGATTAAAACAGTAAGAGTTCATCGGTGGCTGTTTTAATGCAGAAGAAGAGCAGCATATTGAACAGCAAGCAGCTTCAGGTCTGGAAGTATGTGACGGTATATTCTGAATAAATGGATGAATTCATTGTTTTAGCTTTGCACACTTAAGACAATTAGTGTAGAGAGATAAACTAGACGCAAATAAATATTTCTGTCCCCATTTACAACAATTATGAAAGAAGGTTTTAAAAGCTACTATGTAGTAAAGTAGCAATAAGACAGAATAGACATATTTTGAATGGCCATCAATGGAGAAAGATGCTTAAAGGGGTCATATGATGCTTTTTTAAAGATCATTATTTTGTGTATTTGGTGTAACAGAATATGTTGACATGCTTTAATGTTCAAAAAACACATTATTTTTCAAATACTGTACATTATTGTAGGTCCTCTATGCAGGAAAACTTGAAATCGCATCATATGACCCCTTTAATGGTGTAGTTTCGGTATCTACCAGCAGGGCTGCCAAGCAGGTCAAATAACACATGAAGAAAAGTTATCATCGTTAGTTTTCTCCATCTGGCAAAACCTGGTCTTGTGGTTGCAGTTACGATTTGTGGGAAGGATAATGACCCTGTGGTTGAATGTGTGACGCACCCAGATCCTGAACCATTACAACACTGCCTCGATGCTTCTTAGCTTACTGCAACTCTGTAGGCTACATCAAGAATACCCAAACATTTCACATTAGAGTGCAAAGACAACTTAAACTTGTGCAGTAATACTTCAACAATATGGAATTATTTTTTTTCAAGAATAATACAATGCACTTGGAACAAATGTTTTTCGTGTAAAATAGATTTATTGTTTCTGTATAAGACAGCATACACTCTAAAAAATGCTGGGTTAAATATAACCCAGCACTGGGTTCAAAAGGGGCAAACCCATCTATTGGGTTGTTTTAACCCAGCGGTTGGGTTGTTTTGAACCCAACTGCTGGGTCAAAACAACCCAATAGCTGGGTTTGTCCCTTTTTAACCCAGCATTTTTTAGAGTGTAGACATGAAATTCCTATAATAAAAATAATAATAATAATTGCATACTTTTTGTGCAAACTACTGGTCTCTTCCACACCATTATCATATTCATTTTTATAAATGTACAACTTCATTTAGGTGATATGGTCCATTATTAAATAAATGCACATTCAACGTCTGTAAAAAAATATATAAAAAATAAATTTAAAAAAGCCAGTAACTGGAATACAGGACTTTTTTTTTTTTTTTTTTTTACAGTCTGTACGAGTAGACGAAAAGCTGCCGACAGTCAAAAGGCAGTCTGCAGATTTTGAGCAAATGACATTTCACAGACGGACTGTACATGACATTGTTTGATGTGTCATGCCTCTCCTAACAACACGGTTACGTGTATCTTATTTAATGTATGGTTTCCTTTAGTGTATTTTCTCTGTAACCACTTACAAAGTTGGCAAATGTACGATGCCTAGTGTTTAAAACGGCGTTCCCACACGAGAGAGGAGACAATAACCTCTGCAGTGATCGCACACGCTCAAAAAGTAAATGGCATAACCTATCCAGTCTCTATATTTAGAATTATTCAGGCTACTTAAGATTTTTGGACATGCCTAAAGAGAAAACATATGGGAACAATACTTCCGGAACCTGAA